CCCCAAAACCCCAAAACCCCAAAACCCCAAAACCCCATTTAGAGAAGTAGAGATTGAAGATTATGGGTAGTTGAGCGAGGTTGACGAGGAAGAGATAGACCATCGGGATAGGTTAGTGGGTAAAGGGAAGCAAGGCTATATAGGTTAGTATTATAAATAATACCTTTGCCTTAGCATTGCCATGGTTCTCTATCTGAGGATTCTTTGGGCTTATTTTAGCAATTTTCTGTTGATTAATTCTATTTTTGGCCTTTATCTACACACTTTAGAACATAAGAATACCTTGGTTTTATGAATATTTTGCTTTAAAGATCCATGACTCTTCTTCCCAAGGTCACGAGTTAGACTACATGAATTCTGCTTAGGATGATGCTTTGGGACTTCTTGTAACGGTTCTAGACAAAATTTCGCTTGAAATATACTTGATTTTACAATCACAACCTTGCTTTCTTCCTCTGGTTTGCTAGATTGAGGTTCTATTGTGCTAAACTTTCGATGGTGTCTTATTGATTTCTGATTCTGTTTCAGACTTATACCAGCCTCATTCGGCCTCCTGTAGGGATTATCACGAGTTACTTAAGCCTCTGTTTAATATAGACATGATTCATGTGTTTCTTGTCAAGGAAAACTTTTGCTTTTTGGTCTAAGAATTATTGCAGGAGGGATTTACAGTTGAAAGAATTCTGTTTCCCTCTTTGTATAAACTCAAGTATGCTCTTTTGCATCACATCTTTCTTAAGAGAAATCTTCTTTTGTTCTATTTTCAATATTTTTCTGCCCAATGGAGAAAACATCGGGGACCCTGATATTGGCGAAGGCTGTGGTTAGAATTGAAGATACTAGAGCAGGTAATTGAACTGTTAGGTCAACTCTTTTAGGTTCTCTAAGCTTGAACTCTGAGGGTGAAACAGACTGGGTAATTCAATTCAACATTGACGGTGACCTCTCACTGTCTTCTACCCTCCGGCCTTCCTGCTTCTCTTGGGAACTCTGCAAATCAAATTAATTTGAATAAGGAGTACCTTCTCGATGATCTTGGCAACTTTCTTGCTCTCAGTTCTGAGTGTCTGACGGATAGAATTTCTAGCTCTCAGATTCTTTGTTATATCTTTTCATGGATTTTTCTTTTCAAAGCATACTGATTGAGGGTCTCTTTCTTATGCTTCATTTTAATCTATACATTATGCCTTTAATTGCACCTTCTGTGGGTCAAAATGGCTTGGGTAATCCACACTTTGCACTTTTACTCTCTTTTCAGGAAAATTTATTGGAATTGATGTGTAGTTTTTAATCGCAAATTTGAATCCTTCCTTGCTTTTCATCTTATTTAAAATCGGGTAGTTTATCTATGAAACTATTGTGAGAGGAAGAATTTATTTATTAATTATGAAGAGATTTACCTTTGGTGAATTTTGTATCAGCAAAGCTCAAATCAACGACTAATTCTTTAGGAATGTGCTCTCAAGATCTTCTGATCGACCCTGGTTGATTATCTCTCTCTACTAATTATGAGTGTATATTACCATTACTGATCTGTTTAAGCCGGAATGTGGCTCCTTTGGAGTTACCTCTGACCAAATATTGGCTATTCTCTAATATCATGTTTTTAAAAAGTTGTTTTTTCCTACAAGTATCATCATTCTTGCCTACTGCATATGGTCTGTGGGTGCATTACCATACTTTCCTCTTGAGGAATTAAAACTTTTGGATAGCTTAGGCTCCATTAAAACTTCTCTAGTTTCCATTTTTGTAAAATTTATAAAGATTTAGGTCAATAACCCAGTTGAACTTGGGGTTTTGGGGTTTTGGGGTTTTGGGGG